GCCCGCCTCGCCAGAGAACTAACGGGATTAAGATCGCGCCCTCTGAGTGGCTCGCCGCAAGCCCCGCCTCCGGCAGTGGTTGCCCGCCCCACCCCCCCCGCGCTTTCCGGGACGAATCTTGGCTCCTCCTCCTTCCTCGGCCCCGCCCCCTTGTGACTCCGCCCCTCTTCTGCAGCGTCCGGTCCTGCCCCTCCCAAATCTAGTTTAGTTGTCGCGGCGGGACCAGGACCTGGTCCGAGACGCGCGGTGCGAGCCAGTGGCAGAGCCATGGCTGGCGGGGAAGACCGCGGGGACGGGGAGCCGGTCTCAGTGGTGACCGTGCGGGTGCAGTACCTGGAGGACACCGATCCCTTTGCATGTGCCAACTTCCCGGAGCCGCGCCGGGCCCCCACCTGCAGCCTGGACGGGGCGCTGCCCCTGGGCGCACAGATACCCGCGCTGCACCGCTTGCTGGGGGCGCCGCTCAAGGTGAGGGGCCCCGGAGAAGATATGGGGGCGATCGAGGGTTCAGGGTTGGTGCCATGAACGTCTTTGGGAGGTGCCCCTCGGGGAGAGGCTGGAGTGGGTACGCTCCTCCGGGATACTTTGGGGCTGAGGACCAAGGTCCGCGCAGCCCTGCTTGCGGGAACGCCTCTCAGACTGAGGGGAAACTGCAGAAGGGAGAAGGGAGCTTGTGGTTTGCGCCACCCTGGCTGCCCCTTAAAGTGAGGCCCCCCTGGGGAGGTGGTCGAGGGAAGGGGGTGCTCCTAGCTGCCCGTCTGCCTGGGTAACTGCTGTGGATTGGGTGGCGGTAGATATTTGAGTGGTAGCGGACCCAGGAGGCGGAGCTGGGGGGGGGGGGTGTGGACCAGCCTCCACCTCACCTGAAGCGGGGGCGGAACTACGAGGCGGGGCGGGCCGCTATAGGTGGCAGAGGCTTCGAGCGGTTCCTGGAGGTTGGATTGGGTCCTGCTGTGCAGAGTGTTGCCCCTGCAGGTGGGGGTGGGGAGGTGGCTTGGGAGGAGAAGAGACTTAACGGGGTGCGGGGAGTCCTCCAGAAGCAGCCCAGCCCGGGACTAGCCGAGCGCGGGAGGCTCCGCTGGTGGAAAAGCCCTTTGAGTCACCGCCCCCACCACCCGTACTCTCGCCGCCGCGGGCCAGCAGCTGGAAGGGAGGCGGCGGGCCGGGCTAATTTTAAACCGCCGGCCTGCTCTAGTTTGCCTGCGCCCCGGAACCGACTCGCGCACAATACCGGGGAAGGCCCTTTTCCAGATGGCGGGCCCTACCTCTCCTCCCGCTCGCCGCGCTCAGCCCCCCGCAGGCAGCCCTTTCCGGCGCGCGGGGTTTCCGGGCCAGGACTTTGGGAGGCCACTACCACCCCCCTGGCCTCCCCGCCAGCCAGTCCACACCGAGTGGTGCGGACGAGGAGAGAGAGTTGGTGGTGGTGCAATCCCCGGCTCCTAGCTGGGTCGCCGAGTTGCGCAAACTTGCCCCCCGGACTCGGGGTCTCCCTTGGAATGTGCCCCGGGCGCCAGGCCCCCCGGCCTGCATTCCTGGCGCTGCGGGCCAGACCCGCCTCCGAGAATGGGCGGGAGAGGTGGTGGGACTATTGGCCTGGGGAACGGCACGTGTCCCTGAAAAAGCCCGGTATTCAAGGCCATGACTTGAAAGTGTCAGCACGCTGCCCATTCCAGAGTTTTGATGCAACATCTATCCCCCTCTCCACCCTCGTCCTGCTCTGTTGAAAGGGGCAAACAGGTGGGCCTGGAAGAAGCACGTCCACCAGCGGGAGGCCACCTCCTATTCAGCTTGGGCGCTAGGGAGAGAGGGGTGCTGAACTGAGGCCAGGTTCCTGAAACGCCTGGAGCTCTACAGAGAACACAGTATTCCACCCACCACCACCACCCCTACTCTAGGACAGGACTTTCCAACTAGGGGCAGATTTGGGAGGACAGCTACAGGAAAGAGGCTCTGCCCTCTGTTCTCTGCTCCCTAGCTGAGGACACTACTGAACTCAGAGAATGTGTCATCTCTGCCAACTCAGTCCTTCCTAGTTTCCCCACTTTCAGGATCTCCCACCTGGTGTACTTGAGGGACTGTCATATCCCCCACAGGCAGGATATGGGGGTGGACACATGGGGTTACCACAGTGCCTAGAGCAGGACTCCCTGGGGCTGACAGCTCTGCCAGCAATGGTCAGATGCACTGTGATGTGCTCATCCCAAATATAAACTGTGACCACAGCCCCAGAATAGAAGGCCAGAGAAAGAAGGGCTCAGAATAGGGTAGGGTCAGGGACATCAGAGATCTGCGAGAGGGGGAGCAGGGCCCTTTTTTGCAAGAAATGTCAACAACTGGTTCCTTCCCTAGTCCTATAAGTGGGTGCCCCAGGGGCACAGACATGACTCAGGCCTGCCTTGATAGTCTCTAGAGGGGAGAGGTAACCCAGAAATCCAGGCGTCCCTGTGCAGGGCTGTACAGCAGAAATGAGGGAGGGGTTTTGTACTCCCTGCTTCATCCTCTGTACAGTTGTCCAGCAAAGGAACAGGACATAGCCAAGTCTGCCCTCCCAGTCTGGGCACTGACCCCCATCATCCCTGCAGACCCTGCCCCCTCCCTGGGGACGTACAGAGACCCAGCCCACTTTCCCTCTGGGGCTCCACACCACACACCCCATTGAGTTCCCCTAGGGCTTCTTCCTTTTTAAAAGACTTGGAGCTTTCACACCACAGAGGGCCTTGCTCATTTCCTTTCAGTCTAGGAGGAAGCTCCTGGCCACAGCCTCTGACTCATCTCCTGGCCCTAAGAGGGGGTGAGGCAGGGTCCTGGCAGTGCCTTCGGCCATGCCTGATGTCTCCAGGGAAACTCAGGAATATCTTCCCACTATTGCCAGAACCTCTCCCAGTCCAGGAACCTGCCCCTGCACCAGGGGTAACCAGGCCTTCTGGCCCTGCCGCTCACCTCCTTACCCTCCCTACTACCTTTGCTCTTGGGGTGGTGCCTCAGGAGCCCCTCCCTTATACCCAAAGGCCCTGCCACATCTGGGATAGCACTGACTTCTCCCTGGGCTCTGAGCAGAGGGATCTGGGTGTTGCTCTGACCCTGATGCAAAGGCTAGAGGAACCCCCTACTCCTAGTAGCAGAGATAGCCCTAGAAATCTGTCCATTACCAGCAACTTTGTTTCCCCAGCTGTGGCTAAAGATTAGAGTAGGACAGTGGTGGCACTGTCCTAGAATGTGTCCTGACCTTGCCCCCTCCTTGCTCCAGCCTCAGTCTACCCTTCAGAAGCAGGATAGGCTAGGAGGCTAAGTGTTAAACTGACATACTGGGACAGGGACGGATTGGAGGGGTCCCAGAGGATTCTTAAGGGTAAGAAGGGGTGCTCTGATGATGAACTGAGTCCTTTAGCCCCCTGATAGGGAGGTTTCTTTGGGAGATTGTAGAAGATTAGGATGTGGGCATGAGTCATGGCCTCCCCACTTTCCCTATGGCTGGCATGTCACTGATCATTCTGGGCTAAGTGACCTCATGAAGGACTCAGACCTAGATCCTGGCAGAAGTAGGCACTATTACCCCAACATGTATGGTGTGTGTGTGTTCCTTAGCATTCCCTTGCTAGAACTGGGAGGACCAGTTTGGGGTATTTGTAGAGTCCAGACAGCTGAGAGGCTGTCTTCAGCACTTGGCAACCCTCAGGCCCCAACCTTCATTCCACCTACCCTCGGGGTTCCCTGGCGCACTTCCAATGAGCTTCTGGGTAATTAAGATCTAGGTCAGTTAGCCCTAGGCCCGTTCCTGGTTGTGCAGCAGGTGCAAATCCACTGAATTTCTTGGTCTCCTCACCTGTCAAAGGATTATCAGAATCAAACTAGGCAGCCCAGTGTATTACACAGAGGAGGCAAAACAAGTGGGTTTCCCTCCTCAAAGCCCATCCATGTCATCTCAACCAGGAAGTCATGGTCTCCTTGGAGATCTGAGATAACAGGAAAAGAGGCTCATAGTTCACAGGGTCTTGTGTGTATAGGAAAAGGAAAGAAAAGGGCAGTTAATTTATTTCCTAAAACAAGAGTCCTCCAGCATATAATTCTGTCCTCTTCCCCATCTTCTTTGTACCCTGCCCCTGGCATGTTCATTCTCACCTGATTACACTGCTATGAAAAATACTGGGGAGTAGACACCAGGGTCCCCTAAGCTTGGCCCTGCATATAAAATCATATGTAACAAGTTAGTTAGGGCTGCCAGAAAAACCTGAGCCCAGAGTATCCAAAGGAACGTAGTCTGGAGGTTGAAGTGAGGGGCTGAGCCTGGGAAGAATGGAGGAGGGACACCACCCCAAGACAGACAGCAGAGAAGTGTGGAAGACAAGAGCCAGGAGGGAGTCACGGACGTAGACCTACACTGACCATGTGCTGACCCTAAGCACTGTCAGCAGGGGCCAGGGTTTGGGCTTACTCAGGCCTGGCCCAGCCCCAGGGTGTGAGAAACAAGGCCCAGGGGTTTGGCTCTCAGAAGGGTGACCCCAGGAAGGGGCCAGGGGTGTGAGGGACAAGCACCACTCAGCTGGCAGGAAGTCTCTGCTCTTTGCTGCTTGCCTGACCTGAACCCCCTCCCCCATCTCCATCCAAGACAAACAGCTGGAGGAGGAGGGCATTGTCCTATAGGCTTTGGGTTGCCAATTACCCATGAGTCTCCTCTCCATAAATGGGGCACTGGCAGAATTAGACAGGTGACATGGTTAGGGAAGCCACTAACCACCAGGGTTTAAACCTGCTCATCTGAGGAGGCTGGGGTGGTAAGCACTTAGTCTTGAGGACCCCCTCCCCCACAGGGATACAGGCATCCCAGGTACCCTGCACACTTGGGACTAGAGCGTGTAAGTATGCGTGCAGGAGAGGAAGAAAGCGTGCTGGGCCCGAGCTTTCCGTGGGTGTGCTTCTTGGGCCTGTGCCTGGCCAGCGAGCATGTATATACAGGTGTCCCCAAAAAACGTATACACACTTTAACAGCTAATTTCTATTACATTTTGAAAATGAAATGTATTTTAATAAACACTGCCTTTATAATTATACCAAGTGTGTAGACATTTTGGGGGGACACCTTGTATATACCTGACCATATATACCTGGGTTTGTAAGCAATTACTGCATATAATCGATCACCCCTCCAGTGTTTATCTTTATATAACTCCTCCTCTCCCCTTGCTTGGCACCCTTGGCCATTGTACCTCTACACTTATTTGTGGCCTTTCTCTGAGTCAAGCCTGCCTGCCTCCAGGACTAGCTGGAAAGCAGGGAAGGCAGAGGCAGTGTCTTGTTCTCTGCTCTGTCCTCAGAACCTAAAACCAGCCCAGTTCATGAATGTTCGGATGAGCTGTTCTCTATGTGTGTGATTTGGGGGATCCCTGAGGTGGGTTGCAGCTCTGGGGGAGATATGTTTCTCTAGGGTCCCAGAAGGAGATGCAGCTGTGCCTGGATGGGGGTAGGGAGGGTAGGCTGCTGAGTCATCTGTGGGAAGAGGGATCAGGAGGAATGTGGGGCTGCCCTCAGCTGAGCTGGCCCTGGACAAGGTACCCCAGCCCAGGGGCCTTACCCCCTCCCAGCTCAGGCCTATTCCCAGTAGGCCCTGGAGAAGATGACTCTGCTCCTACGGAGGAGAGAGAGGCCAGGCCCGCCCAAGGCGCCCAGGGAAGGGCAGGCAGCCAGGCAGGAAGTGGGACAGAACAGGCTGGAGTATTTGTTCTATGTCCCATGTCCCAGTCAGTGGGGGGAGGTGGTCACCCAAGGGCCTCACAGGAAGGGCCTGAACTGCCAGGAAGGAGCTGGGTCAGGCTCTCAGGCACAGCAGGGATGCTACGTAGAGGCAGAGGTGGGGGCAGGAGCTGGACTCCCTTTCCCCTCAAGGGACCAAGGGCAGCTGGAAGCCCCTGGGCTGGGTCCAGAGCAAGGCAGGACTGACAGAACAACAGGACTTTTATTCCCAGTAAGATGGAGACCGTAGGCACCCTGACTCTGCAGAGGGGGCTCTCTCTGGGTCATAGCACCTCAAGGGGGAGAGCCACTCAAGTCAAGGGGACTTTGCTATGGGGGAGGTGTCCAGGAGAGGCACAGTGCTGCCATCAGACTCTCCACAGTCACCTTACTAGGCCCTTCTACAAGTACTTCTCAAGGAGCCAAGTGTCCTGCCCAGTAGTGGAGGGGAGCCAGGCTCAGTGGGGAGAGAGACGTGGGAAGCATGTGCCTTCTTGTTATGATGCAGGTTTCAGGGACCCACTATAGACTGACTGAGTCAGACCCTAAAATCTGGGTTTTCAATAGGCCCCTTGGAGGCCTCTGAGGTCCAGGTAGGACCATGGTCACCGTAGCCCACGTGAGAACATGGCAAAGACCCTCAGGCCTGGAGGGACTGGGAGCCTGTGTAGTAGCCCCTGCTACTCACTGTCTTAATTCAGGGACACACATACACCTCCCAGCTGGGTTGGCACCTCCCAGTGATATGGTTGTATTTAACCCAATTATTAATTAACTGGAAAGGAACAAAGGGAAGGCGGAGTATTAGGCATGCCCAGTGAGGTCTGGGTGACTTGGAGAGGTGATCATCTGTCAGTCACACCCAGGAGCCAGGTCATTGGACAGAATAGGCGTGGCCACTGCAAGGGCGCAAAATCTGAGATACATAAGCTCCTAAACAAGCAGGTTCCCTCTCTTGCGTGCTGGGCTCCTGGTCCAGTTGTTGCAGGGGCACACTCCCCTATATTCGTCCACGTGGCCCACAGCTGTGTGGACCCCACACAATGGACTAACAGACTGTGACTAGCCTGATGCTGTGCCGGATTTAACTCCACTGTGGAACGGAAACTGTGGACACTGGCTTTGCTTTTGGCTCTGCTGAATCCCCAGCTGCACCTTTTCCTGGACTGGTTTAAGGGATATGGGACTTTTGAAACCCAGGGATATATTCCACGCAAGTAAAAATCACCCATTCTCCCATGCAAATCTTAGAAAATTCTTTTTCTCAAGATATCGTAAGAACCCGATCCCCAACACCCAGTGGGTAAAGGGATCCCGCACTTTCACCAGTGGATACCCCACTTCCACCAATAACACCAGCATTCTTTTTTTTTTCTTTTTTCTTTTTCCCTTAACACTTCCTCCCAGGGCTTGAATGCTTGTGGCTACAGCTTATCACCCCACGGGGCTGTGAACTTCCTCGAAGGCAGGAACTTCCTTCCATCTTCTCTCCATTCTCGTTCCTCATTTATGTTCATTAACTCAATACATTTTAGTGAGAACTTACAATGTGCCAAATGCTAGGCTACGCTCTGAGGATATAGCATGCAGCAAGACTGACATGGTGCCCGAACCCAGAGAACACACAGTTAAAGGGGAAGAAGACTAGTGTCTAGGATATTATACTGCCCTGGGGAAGGCCTCAGAGGAGGGTACACACATGGCATGGTGTAGGTTGCATAGCATTGCATAGCAGAAGAGTCCAGGAAGTCTTTTTAAAAAAAAGCCTTATGTAATCTGAAACCTAAAGAACGGGTAAGTGCTAGCCAGGAGAAGACATAGTACATACAAAGGCTTTGCACATAGTAGGCACATGAAGGATTGCTAAAGGAATGCTTGGCTACGGTGCCGCCCTTGTGGTGTGCCTCTCTGCCAGCACCCTGAGTAGGAGGTAGGAGGTCATGAGGTCTCCGTACCTACCCCTGCCACCTCTTCCCCATCCCTGACAGCTGTTCTCTTTGCCCCCAGCTAGAGGACTGTGCCCTCCAAGTGTCTCCCTCTGGATACTACCTGGACCCTGAGCTGTCCCTGGAAGAGCAGCGGGAAATGCTGGAGGGCTTCTATGAAGAGATCAGGTCAGAGCTGGTGAGACCAGGAACATAAGGCTGGCCACAACCTTGCCCCCACCAGAGGCTGGCTCAGGTGTCAGCAGCCAAGACACCTGATCTCTAGCCAAGGACACATGCACGTCACCTCCTGCTGCCCCAGGGAACTGTGCCAGGGGAATCCCGAGGCCTGGCCAGTGTTACCTGCTACCCAGGATGGAGTGGGGGCTCTCCCACATATCTGAGATACCCGTATTTGCATAAATCCTTCTGTCTGGCCAACCCTTGGGCTTAGAGGATCAGTTGGGGAGGAAGGAGCTGGGCCTCAGTTGGCATGTGGGGAGGTCTTTGGCTGCCTTGGTGTGGGGGAAGGGACCCCGCAGAATGAGCTGGGAGGTGCTGACTATGCTGCTTGATTCCAGCAAAGGGCGGAAGCCTACATTGATCCTGCGGACCCAGCTCTCCGTGAGAGTCAATGCCATCTTAGGTGAGTGTGTGAGGGCATCAATGTCCAGCCCAGCTGGCTCAGTTTCTTTCAGGCATGTACTGGACAGTGGACAGGACAGATCAGAGATAGAATATGTGGCCCCTCCCCATTCCTATCCTGACCTTTCCTTCTAGGGCCAAGGCTAATGCTGCAGCTAGACTGTAGTGGGGGCTGCCCAGAGCCAGGGAGTAAGTAGAGGAGGAGGTGGGGGGTTCAAGAATACTAGAATATTCTCTAAGGTTGCCTATGTCCCCTTGAGGTTACTATGTCCATCCACCCCTTGCAGAAAAATTGTATGGCTCCAGTGGCCCTGAGCTCCGCCGCTCTCTCTTCTCACTAAAGCAGATCTTCCAGGTGAGGCCCTGAGGTGGGCTGGGGGTGGGCATCCTAGCCTCAGCCCCCTTAAACTCCCCCATGGTGCCCCCAGGAGGACAAGGACCTGGTGCCTGAATTTGTGCACTCAGAGGGGCTGAGTTGCCTGATCCGTGTGGGTGCTGCTGCTGACCACAACTACCAGAGCTACATCCTCCGAGGTCAGCCCCACTCCTCCCCCAGGACCCTTGCTTTCAATGACCCCGTACTGATCTCTTCTTGTTTTTGTGTCCTCAGCACTGGGCCAGGTGATGCTTTTTGTGGATGGGATGCTGGGAGTGGTGGCCCACACTGAGACCGTGCAGTGGCTGTACATGTTGTGTGCCAGCCTGGTAAATGGCCCTCCCCCCAGACATGCACCCTTTTCCCACTGCCTCTCTCTGGGCCTCAATTTTCTCTCCTGTAAAATGGGCAAGAATGGAGTGAGTCTGTGGCCCCTCTAAGCCTAAAAGCACTTCAATGCCTGGGCCTACAGCCAGGGTCTTTTTGTTGAGACTCTCCTGTCTGGGTCCAGCCCCAGGAGCCCTTCCCCCACTGCACCAGGAGCTGGCCCAGCTCTGGCCCAAGCCCCACTCATATGTGGTTATCCCTCCCCTAGTCCCGCTTGGTGGTGAAGACGGCTCTGAAGCTGCTGCTGGTGTTTGTGGAATACTCTGAGAGCAATGCACCGCTGTTCATCTACGCAGTCAACTCTGTGGCCAGCACCACCGGTCAGAGACTGTTCCCTCCCTCCCCACCACTCAGAGCCTTCTCCTACCTTCCTCCTCATGACTGCTCTCCATTCTGTGTGGCAGGTGCTCTGCCATGGGCCAACCTGGTGTGCATCCTAGAGGAGAAGAATGGTGCAGACCCTGAGCTGCTGGTGTACACAGTCACCCTCATCAACAAGGTGTGTGTGGAGGGGGAACCAAAGGCCAGGTATGAGCCCCTCAGGCTCCTGCCTTCAGGCTCCCATGAGCCTTAGCCTCCTATCCCCAACCTCCAGACGCTGGCAGCGCTCCCAGATCAGGACTCCTTCTATGACGTGACGGATGCACTGGAGCAGCAGGGCATGGAGGCACTGGTCCAGCGGCACTTGGGCGCGGCGGGCACTGACATCGACTTACGTGCACAGCTTGTGCTCTATGAGGTGGGCTCTGGGCTGGGCCGCCAGGGCCCAACAGGGAGCCAGAAGAGGGGAGGGAGGGGGCACGGTTTCCCAGCACCCACCCTACCTCAGTTGCTCACATCTGGACCCATGTCTGCTAGAGTGCCCTGCGGATGGAGGATGGAGACATCGAGGAAGCCGCTGCAGGTGGGCGGCGGGAGCGTAGAAAGCCCTCTTCAGAGGAAGGCAAGAGGAGCCGCCGATCTCTAGAAGGCGGGGGCTGCCATGTGCGCACCTCGGAGCCTGGGTAAGAACATGCCTCAGCACTTGGGGAGGAGGGATGGATGCACCAGGAGTAACCTGTCTCCTGACAGACCCCGCCTCCAGCCCCACAGGGCCCTCCTCCTCCTTCTCTTCCGGCCCTGACCCACTCACAAGCCCAGTGCCCAGCCCCATGGGCCCTGCCTCTGGCCTCTGTACCTCTGCGAACCTCTTTCCTGCCCTCTCCGTGGCGTCCTCAGCTGACAGCTCCTGTGAGAGGAGCATCTACAAGTAAGTAGGGAGATAGAGGCTACCCCCCTGGAATCCTCTCCCCACCTGTCCCTCCTGCTCTGCTCCCCTCCATGGACCCTCGGCCTCCTCTGCCCAAACGCGTGCTTTCTCTCTCTTTCTTTCCAGACTTCACCAAACTGCTCCTATTTGGTAAGTGACTGCTGGGGGGTGGGGTTCGGCTCTGACCGGACCTCCTCCCCCTGGGGCTTCTCTTCATCTCCTTCTGGCATTACGTCTGGTCTTGGCCAATGTTCTCTGTCTCCCTACCCCCTACTGTCTTTGTTTCTCCGGCACTGTCTCTGACTCTTGTTCTGCTCTGTCTTTGTCTCTTACTGCACCCTGTCCGGCTTCATGTCAGTCTCTCCCCTCCACTTAGTTTCCTCTCGTCATGTCCTCCCCAACCCCCTCCTCTTCCCACTGTGGCTGGGAAGGAATCCCTGATAGCACTGCCCAGGTCTGAGTAGGTGTGAGCAACTGGGCTTCCAGGTGGAGCAGACACCACAATTACTATTTCTTCTCTCATCTCCCCTCCCCCACCCCCACCCAGGGCCCCTGAGAGCCCACCTGTCCCCCAGCCCCCTACTGGGCAGGCCAGGCTGGAGTAAGTAGAGGCCAGCTTGCCAGGCCTGCCATGTGCTCAGGGCTTCAGCATTGCTTCTCCCAGCGGGGCTCCATTTGTCTGATGCAGCCAGAACTCGGGGACTCTCGCGCCCCTTTTCCCCCAGATCTCTGCCTCCTCGGTTACCTAAGGACTAAGCATTGGGATTAGTTCCCTGAGGTCATAGTGGATCCTGTGCTTCAATAGTGATACCTTGATAGCTTTGACCAGAGATGAGGACATGGACTCCCAACCTGGAGCCCATTCTCCCAGGCATAGGCCAGGAATAGGGCAGGGAGGGGAATTAGGGTGCTGTGCAGTGTGGAGGTAGAGGAACAACCTAGGGCTAAGATAAGGGCCGGGACTGAGGGCCAATGGAGGCTAGAGGGGCCCAGAAAGAGACATTGGATCACTCATTATTTCAACATAAACTGAGTGCCTGTCTCTACCAGGCCCCTTTCTGGGCATAGGTCATAGTTCTCAGAAGCTGCAGACATGCCAAGGGAGGGATGTGCCCATTGGCACAGCTATCCCCTTCCCCTGCTCTAAGGGTCCTTGTCTAGAATCAGGACAATTAACATGAATAGCAAGGTTGCAAGTTAGACATTAAGTAGAACTTCTCTCTGTACGTTGACCTGGGAATGCTGGGTTGTAAGTGACCCTCCCCAGATGTGGAGAATTGAACAGGGGCTGGACATGGGGGGTCGGGTCCTGGGTCTGCTTGGCGCATGGTCTGTTCCTGTGTGTCTGTGTGTGCCTGCAATTAGGGGCAGTGCCCAGGGGACCAGCATGTGTACCACCCTGGGCTGGGGTGTGTCAGACACCCTCACTGACAAGTGCCTCCCCCCAGAGCCCGGTTCCTGGAGAATGTGGCAGCAGCAGAAACAGAGAAGCAGGCTGCGCTGGCCCAGGGCCGGGCAGAGGCATTGGCTGGGGCAGTGCCCGATGAGGCTGATGGACACCCAGGTGAGCGGGTGGGTGGGCAGAATCTACCCATGTCTCCTTGTTGCCCCACAGAGGCCATGACACTGACAGCTGCTTCTCTTTTTTTAGATGCCCGGGAACTGTGGAGTTCCCCTGAACCGGTCCCAGCTTCTGTACCCAAAACACCCCAGAGCCCTGCCCCCCGAGTCCTGCTCAGGTCCCAGAGGAGCCTTGAGCCAGAGCCCAAGGAGCCACTGGCCCCACCAAGCCCCAAGGCTGAGCCCACCCAGAAGTTCTCTACCCATGTACCCAAGCTCTGCATTGGGGACCTGGACTTCTCAGATCTGAGGGAGGACGAAGACCAGGACATACTGAACATAGAGACTGTGGAGGCTGGGAAAGGGGTCCCGCCCCCACCACCCCCACTGCCCTTGCTCTCCGAAGGCCCCCCACCTCCTCCACCCCCACCTCCCCCACCCATCAAAGGCCCCTTACCACCACCTCCACCACTGCCAGCTGCCCCTCTTCCCCCATCAGCGCCTGACGGCCTAGCCCTCCCCACCAAGAGGAAGACAGTCAAACTCTTCTGGCGGGAGCTAAAGCTGGCTGGGGGCCATGGAAGCTCTGGGAGCCGCTTTGGGCCCTGCTCCACCCTGTGGGCCTCCCTGGAGCCTGTCTCCGTGGACACAGCCCGGCTGGAACACCTGTTTGAGTCCCGTGCCAAGGACGTATTACCTTCCAAGGTAAACGCACCCTCATCTGCAAGGTAGCCCCAGTGGCGAGGGGGGGGAATCAGAGCTCAAGGGTCCTAACTACTGGGGCTGCCGCTCATTTCCCACGTGGGGAAAGCGAGGCAAAGAGAGGAGCGGGGACTTGTCTGAGGTCCCAACAGGGATCAGCAGAGGCCTAACTGGTATCTAAGCTCATCCCAAGGCTCTAAACATCCCAGGTCCATCCCCAGTTGTGGGGTGACCTCGCCATTTGGAGGGGGCCCTTGAAGTGTCCTCTTAGGTTGTTGCCCCAGCTAGTCCCTTTCCCAAACTTAAACTCTCCTTCCCTCAACCTCAAAGAAAGCTGGTGAGGGCCGCCGGACAATGACCACAGTGCTGGACCCCAAGCGCAGCAACGCTATCAACATTGGTCTAACCACACTGCCACCGGTGCATGTCATTAAGGCTGCCCTGGTCAACTTCGATGAGTTTGCTGTCAGCAAGGACGGCATTGAGGTAGGGATAGCCAGCTGGGGGTGTGGAAGGGAGTGGGAGGTCCAGCCCTCTCCTTTGGTCAGTGGGCATTTCCTGACCCTCTAGTAGTGGGCAGGGGCTTGGCATAGCAGTCCCCAGACCCTGGGGCTCCCCCAGACCTCCCCCAGATAGCCTAGGGCAGCGGTTCTCAACCTGTGGGTCAAGACCCCTTTGGAGGTCGAATGACCCTTTCACAGGGGTCGCCTAAGACCATCCTGCATATCAGATATTTACATTACAATTCATAACAGTAGCAACATTACAGTTATGAAGTAGCAACGAAAATAATTTTATGGTTGGGTCACAACATGAGGAACTGTATTTAAAGGGCCAGAAGGTTGAACCACTGGCCTAGGGGGAGTCAAGACCAACACCTGAGGCCTCAGGCCAGCACTTACTGGCCTGTATGGGGTGGTGGTTGTGTCCTCAGAAACTACTGACCATGATGCCCACGGAAGAGGAGCGGCAGAAGATCCAGGAGGCCCAACTGGCCAATCCTGACATACCTTTGGCCCCAGCTGAGACTTTCCTGATGACTCTTGCCTCCATCGGGGGCCTGGCTGCCCGCCTACAACTCTGGGCCTTCAAGCTGGACTATGACAGCATGGAACGGGTACCTGGGTCATGGGTGGGACAGGCAGTGGGGCCAGATGAGTATGGTGACCATGTAGTCTGAGACCCTGGCCTCCCACACCAGGAAATCGCAGAGCCACTGTATGACCTGAAAGTGGGCATGGAACAACTGGTGCATAATACCACCTTCCGCTGCATCCTGGCCACCCTTCTGGCTGTGGGCAACTTCCTCAATGGCTCCCAGGTGAGTGACAGCGCATGAGGGCTGGGAGCCAGGCTCTGGAGCCAGCCGGCCCAGGCTCAGACAAAGTCCTTTCAGAGCAGTGGCTTTGAGCTGAGCTACCTGGAGAAAGTGTCAGAGGTGAAGGACACCGTGCGCAGGCAGTCACTGCTGCACCATCTCTGCTCCTTGGTGCTCCAGATGCGGCCTGATTCCTCCGACCTCTACTCAGAAATCCCCGCCCTGACCCGCTGTGCCAAGGTTAGCACCAGCCAGGGGCTTGGATAAAATTGGCCAGGGCATGAGGGGGTGCTGCTTCCTGGGGCTGGCTTCTCCCCTCCTATTTCAACGGCTGTGCCAGGGCTGGCTCGGCTACAGATGTTTGTGCCAGAAATGCTTCCCTCTATTGGCCTGGCTATCGCTACTCAGTCTTTGGGTCTCAGTTTAGCTGCCGCCTCCCCAAGAAACCTTCTCTGTTCCCCATTGGACCAAATGGACTTGTCTGTTTCCTGTGGTAGACCGTGAACTTTTGGAGGGCAATGGTTGGATCTCTGTGTTCCTCTGGCCTGGCTCACCAGCCTGGCACAGAGGCAGCCTCAGGCAGTACCTTCTTGTGGGGGGACAGCCTGTGTACCCCCCTGCTTTTCCAGGTGGACTTTGAACAGCTGGCTGAGAACCTGGGGCAGCTGGAGCATCGGAGCCGTGCAGCTGAGGAGAGTCTGCGGAGCTTGGCCAAGCATGAGCTGGCCCCGGCCCTGCGTACCCGCCTCACCCAGTTCCTGGCCCACTGCTCCCGACGCGTTACCATGCTGCGAGTAGTGCACCGCCGCGTCTGCAACAGGTGGGATTGTGGGCCCGAGAGGCAGGACCGCCACCACTGTCCCTCACCCCCAAGTAGGACTCACCATCACCTTCCTATCCTGACCTGCCCAGGTTCCACGCCTTCCTGCTGTACCTGGGGTACACCGCACAGGCAGCCCGTGAAGTGCGCATCATGCAGTTCTGCCACACGTTGCGGGAGTTCTCGCTGGAGTACCGGACTTGCCGAGACCGGGTGCTCCAACAGCAGCAGAAGCGGGCCACCTACCGTGAGCGCAACAAGACCCGGGGACGCATGATCACTGAGGTGCGTGCCCCTTCCAGGTTTTGACTGCTGTTCCCATGGTTTCCTTCCCTGGCTCCCAGCTCATCATTCTCCCCTCTCCAGACAGAGAAGTTCTCAGGAGTGGCTGGGGAAGCCCCCAGCAACCCGTCTGTCCCAGTGGCTGTGGGTAGTGGGCCAGGCCAGGGTGATGCAGACAGTCACGCCAGCATGAAGAGTCTGCTGACCAGTAAGCCTGAAGATGCCACACACAGCCGCCGCAGCAGAGGTGGGACCTGTGGCCACTAGGGGAATGGATTTTGCTTTGGGGCCACCTTGGCCTGACCTCCCCATCTGGTCTCTCTCAGGCTTGGTCCAGAGCAGCTCCCCAGTGCCCACAGCAGTGGGGGCCTCCAATGCACCCCCAGAAGAATCCCCAGGCTCCAGTTCACCCAGTGACACTTCAGATGAGATCATGGACCTGCTGGTGCAGTCAGTGACCAAGAGCAGTCCTCGTGCCTTAGCTGCTCGGGAACGCAAGCGTTCCCGTGGCAACCGCAAATCTTGTGAGTACTCCCCACATACCCGCTGCCCACTTTATCCCCAGCAATCCCCTCCAACCCCGCTCTGTCCCTGCAGTGAGACGGACATTGAAGAGCGGACTTGGAGAAGACCTGGTGCAGGCACTGGGACTGAGCAAGGGACCTGGCCTGGAGGTGTGAAGCCACTGCCTCCAGAATATCTACCTGGGCCACAGCCTGCAGGCAAAAGACTATATAGAGAGAGGAGGGGCCAGAGCAGAAATCTGGGCATCTTCTCAACCCTGGGGTCACTCTGTACCCAGTGGCCAGTGCCTTGAGCAGTATTATCTGTGTTTGTGTGTTGTGTGTGTGTGTGTGTATGTATGAGCTCCCTGAACACGTGGAGCATAATAAAGTTTTCTTAGCCAATCCAAGAGCCTTTTTCTTTCAAGGTATAGACCCCTGCTTTCAAGGTCTAAGGCAGTAGAGAAATACCAAAGAATTGGTTCTTCCTGCCTCACGCCTCATCATCACACAGCCATTAGCCACATTCTAAGCCATTTATTCAACAATCCTATGCCTTAGACTGCTTTTGGCCCCTGGACTAGGCCCTCGTTACTCCTAGCATGGGGCCATACAGCCTGACAGAGCCACCTAAGGCCCAGCAACCAGTGGTCACAATGTGAGTGGCTATAATCGTTTCATCTGCCGCCGTTCCTGCCGGCGCTGCCTTTTCTCATTGTGCTCCGGCGCTGGGGCACCACTGTCTGCCGTGAACCAGGGGCCCAGCACATTCACCCACAGGAGGTAAAGGGCCCGTCCTGGAGCCTAGGAGAGAAAAGGTAACTTGAAGCCAGGTTCAGGAAATGAAAGAAGAGAATGGTTAGATGCCCCAGCCCCTTCTTGGGAGTCCAACAACCCACGCACCAGGAGCCAGAAGGACCAGATGTAGAGGGAAAAGCAGCTGAGCACCTGCACAATGGCTGTCAGCAGGATCACATCCTTCAGGTGCCTGTGGATAGAAGGGAGACTGCAGGGGCCAAAAATAGTAGATGGGCCCCAATTCACCTCCCACCCCTTCAAGCTGCAGGCAGCTGTGGGTCTTGGGCTATCTGGGCCCAGCACCACAGCCCTGGGGCCGCTCACCTGAGCTGGCGGCGGGGGACACTCACTCTGCCATGCCCTGCTCCATGTTGAGGTCCATTCCACCATCCATCAGGGCCCCATCCTCAGAGAAGGCCGCCCGTGCCATTGAGCTCATTGAGTGGTAGCTGGCCCCATATACTGCCAGACTAAAGCCCAGGGCCATCTGCAGAACAAGAGTGGGAGTATCAAAGGCCAGCCACTAACCCTATGTGCGTACCCACTTCCCAGGATGGGGAACACTTACCCAGGCCCAAAATGAGGCAGATGAGTAGAAGAAGACCAAGGTCACAAGACAGTAAATGGCCTGCAAGCAGACACAGGATCAGGCTGGGATCAAAGCTACCCCTTAACCATGGACCTCCCTTGACTCTGACCAAGAGTTTGGCCAGGCTGTGGAAGAAGACAGGTTGTTTCTTATGGGATGGGGGAAACAGAGGTCTGAGTACCCAGACTACCCTCTGACACATCAGCCTAGGAAAGAAGCCTCTGTATTTGGAGTGGTAAAGGCTCTCGAGTCCATCTCATTTTGTTGTTTTGTTTTGACTACTCAACATTTCCTCTGTACAGGACCGATTGATTGATTGATTGATTTCTGGAATTTTCTTCTAAAGCCTTGACTCACATACCACCACCACCACCACCACTGCAGCAGCCCCCACCACCCAGAACTGAAGACTCTGGGACCTTGGGCGGGCACAGAAATAAGAGCCAGGCACTCACATTGGCCCCCAGTATGATCCGCAGGTAGAACTTGAGGGTCTCTCTGTTCTCTTCGAATATCTGCTTCTTCCCTCTTGTCCCCACTTTGCCCTTGGGCTGCAGAAGAATGGTGAGAGGCCTGTCAGCGCCCTCCTCAGCAGGGTCCTCTTCCCCCTCCCCACCAGCCTGGTTAGCTACAGAGTCCCAGGTGCACCTCAGGCAGTTCCCGTTGGTGCTCAAACCTGGCACAATCCTTGGGGTGCCTACCCCTCCTCCAGGCAATCCTGCTTAAGGCAGAAACCACCCTTCCAACAACCTCAGCAATGATCGCCTCCTGCACACCCTCGAACAATACAACACTAGGCTGATATCGCCTGGCTTCCCTGGTAAGCTAAGGCTTTGGGCTGATGACCCCGCCACGGGGAATTCCTGAGTGGCGTTGAATAGCGCCCCTCTCCGGCCTCCGCTGGAGTGAGCAAGATCTCGACTGACGCCCACACCCTGCTGGCCCCTCAGATCTTTAGCCAATTCCGGTTACTATGTGATACGGACGCCCACCCCCACTCCGGCACCCGTCCTGGTACGGTCCAGCGCCGCTCCCTTCCACCCCCGTGCATCTAGTACGGCCCGGCCACTGAATGGCGCCCCCTCTGGCCGACCCGCTTCTCTTGATGTCCTCCCTCTGCTTTCAGTCTCCCAGGCCCTGGGAGCGCTTTGCCGATGCGGACCCCGCCCTACCCGCTCTCCTTACCGCCATGGTGCGACGTAAACACCCAGCCGGGGGAACGAGGAATAGCTAATGAAACCGCAATCACCAAGTCCCACATCGGCAGCACAGGCACTTCCGGTGCAGACCCAAATCGTCACAACTGGGACGGAAGTGAGTGGGCCACTTCCTTTCCTAGCCCCGCCCCCCAGAGCCCGTGAGACTACACTTCCCAGATGCCTTGCGCGGGGGCGGAGGCGGCGGGGATGCGATGGCGGAGTCGCTGCCCCTGGAGGTGAGAGGAGGCCGCCCTCAGGTCCAGCTCGGGCCAGGCCCCGCCCTCAGGGTCCCGGGCTGTGGGGAGGGGCTGTCAGACCGCTCGCCGAGTCCCGCTGGCCGGGCGGAAATGACCCGTCCGGTAGCTGAGAGGACTTGCAAGCGATGGGTAACGGCCCCACCGTTAGGCTACTCCGTCCCCTTAGTTGGGGGACATCCTCTTCTTCCCCATCGGCCCCCGGAGATGGCTGTTCTGTCACCTCAGAGAGAACGGGGCCTCTGCCTACCCACCTTCTCTTGAGATGGCCGCCCCTCCCCCTCAGTTCTGGAAGGTATCTGCTCCATCCCATCGTCCCCGAAGGGTAACCGATCTCATTCCATTGGTCCCTTGGGATGATCGGCTCATTCCCTCCACCCCGAGAGATGGCTGTCCCCTGCCTCTGGCGGCGGGAGACTGCCTTCCCCATCTACTCCGGGCAGGGTCGCTGAGTTCTGTCCCCGAAGACCGGCCTGCTCCCCCTTCCCTCCGCCTCCAGCGATGGCCGCAGCCCCTACCTCCTGGGCCCCAAGGGATGTTTGCCCCTCCTCCTTAGCCTGAAGCAAGACCCCTCTGCCGCCATTATTGAGAGCAGGTCACAGCCTTTGTCCCCAGGGGACTCTGGGATGACTCCTCCATCCTTTTTGCCCTGAGAGTTGGCCGCCCTTTCAATGCCTCCGGGAGACTAGACACCTTTTCCCCATCAGCCCTGGAATGGCTCTCCTTCCCCTTAGCAAAAATAGGACTGCTCCCACCCCACTGAGCCCCCTGCCGTGGCTTCTTGTCTCCCCTTGGCCCCACAGGTTATCCATTTCACCCACATAGGTCCCAGGAATGACCAGTCATGCCTCTTGGGATGGGGTTCCTGGGATGGCCATCCACCCTTATCACTGCCTGCTCTGGTCTCTAGGAAAGCCACTCCCCTTCCCAGCTCAAAGAATCCCCTCCGTGAGGACAGGGGTTTTGCCCTCTACTATTCATTGACCCTTGGGTTGGCTGCTGAGCCCCAGAAGGTGGAATGGCCACTATCTTAGCTCGGAGATAAGATGTCTGCCTTCCCTGAGGGTTGGAGGCTTGGTCATTCCCAGTCCCCATCAGTGTTTTCTTTCCTGCATCTAGCCTCCTCCCCAGTCATTCTCTCAATAATCGATCTGCTTTATCGCCCCACCCTGAGCAAACGTTTGGTGAAAATAGAGGTAGAGGACTATCCATCCTTAATTCAATCCAGTGAGTGTTGGCTGAGCACCTTCTGTATGCTAGGAATGAGAGGAGATCAGAATGGGCTGATGAGGTCAAGCTCAAGGAAGGGCATTCTAGGAAAGAGGAAATAGACGAGCTGTGTTTGTAGGACGGTGGGGAGACTGGGTTGGGGAAGCTCTGGGATCAGGGGTCTAGTTGGGCATGGAGGCCTGGCAGTGCTGACCCAAGAGTGGAGATTGTGTTGTGAGGGTACTGGGATACCCTAGAAGTTTTCATCAGGGGTGTGCTGAGACCGAAAGCTATTTTTTGGGAAATTAACATTGCTGTAGTGTGCAGAATGATTAGCAAGAATGAGCCTGGAGGCAGGAGAGTCAGTTGGAAGATTGTAAAAGGAATCCAGGTTTAGAATGATGAAAGTCTAGGCTACTAAGTAAAGTTCCAAAGGTAAAAATATTAGTAACAGCAATCCAGCAACCATTTATGGAACACCTACTAGGTGTCAAGCACATCATATCCAATATAACTATATCTTAATCCCCATAAGACTATGACATATGGCCCTAACCGGTTTGGCTCAGTGGATGGAGCGTCAGCCTGCGGACTGAAGGGTCCCAGGTTCAATTCCTGTCAAGGGCATGTATCTTGATTGCGGGCACATCCCCAGTAGGGGGTATGCAGGAGGCAGCTGATTAATGTTTCTAACTCTCTATCCCTCTCCCTTCCTCTCTGTAAAAAATCAATAAAATATACTTTAAAAAAATAAAAAATAAAGACTATGACATATGTTTTACATAGAGGACTATCCATCCTTAATTCAATCCAGTGAGTGTTGGCTGAGCACCTTCTGTATGCTATCCAGTGAGTGTTGGCTGAGCACCTTCTGTATGGTAGGAATGAGAGATCAGAATGGGCTGATGAGGTCTTGACATATGTTTTATTGATTTCAGAGAGGAAGGGAGAGGGAAAGAGAGATAGAAACATCAATGATGAGAGAGAATCATCGATTGGCTGCCTCCTGCACCCCCCCTACTGGGGATCGAGCCCGCAACTTGGGCATGTGCCCTTGACCGGAATCGAATCTGGGACCCTTCAGTCCACAGGCCGACGCTCTATCCACTGAGCCAAACCGGCTAGGGCAGACTATGACATATGTTTTCTAATATCCCCATTCTAGAAAGTAGTGGAATTGGGGTTTAAATGAGTCTAAGTTAGCCTGGCCTAAAGCCTATGCTTGACATCTGTGTCTGAGTATGACAGGTACAAAGTATTATCAAGACCTTCAGAGGAGTTGCACGGTTGGCATTTCCAGCTCAGGTGCTGGAAAGTTGGGAGATGGGACTGCTTTGGACTGAGGGCAGAATATGAATTCTGGTTGAGATGAAGGTGATAGTAAAAATATTTGAGTGAAGGCTTCTATGGACAGTTGGCAACACTGGTCATGAATAAGGTAACATGATATTGAATTGTGGGTTATTCCTATAGAGGTAACTGTCGAAGCCATGCAAGTGTTTACTAGAAAGTAAACAGATGGAAAGATCCAGGTCTGAGCCCTGGGAACCACTGAAGATCCAGAGACAGGGCAATTGGAGTGGTGAGTGGAGCCCTAGAAAACAGAGTGTCATAGGAGTCAAGGAAGGAAGATTCCAGAAGACAAAAAGAGTTAACATCAGATCATTCCTGGCCTCACAGCCGACTCCCTTTACAGTTCCTATAATAGGGCTTCCAACCTCCGCCACCCCTCCCACCAGCCTCATAGAGCATAAGCGCAGCGAGGGCCTGAGCCTCCTGAGCTGGGTCTTGCTGGGATCATTACTTAGCAGCTGAGAAGGCAAGTTGGCAGTGGAGAAGACGGGGAAAGAGTGTGTTCCCAGAGCCTGATCTACGAGGGCAGGAGGAAGGCGTATACCTTCCTGGAGCACCTGACTTGCTATGTTGTAGATCCTATGCAAGATCTGTTATTTAATTCTCACTATATATATTAAACCTCATACCACTGCCATTTTGCAGATAAGAACAACAAGGCTCAGAGAGGTCAGTTGATAGAGTAAGGATTTGAATTAGGTTGATCTGGTTCCAATGCCCAGGCTCTTAGGACGGAACTGAGCAGGAAGTTTGATTTTTATCAGTCTGTACAATCCTGTATCCAGACAAAGTAAAGGTTCATTCACAGCAAAGATACTTGGGAGGTAGAGATGGGACATGAGGACTCTCTGAAGCTTAGGATTCAAGATAAAGTAGAAGCCAGTGATCTCGTCCCCTCAGCCCTGCTGTGCTATCAGCCAGAGAAAGTTCCCCAGGCCCCCAGCTCTAACAGCCCCAATGCCCTCTCTTTTCCCCTCAGATGCTCACATATATTCTGAGCTTCCTGCCTCTGTCAGATCAGAAAGAGGCCTCCCTCGTGAGTCGGGCTTGGTACTACGCAGCCCAGAATGCCTTCGGGAGGTAAGGTGCCCACCCTCACCTGGCCCTTTCTCAGTTGTCTCTCACGTCAGCTTGCTCATGGCCCTGCTCATACATCGTCCATCCATGTATTCATCCTCCATATTCATACATACATTATGTGCGTACATACTTGGCTCTGGGACTCTACTGATGAATAAGGCATAGCCCCTCCCCCGAGGAGCCCATAGTCCAGTGGAGGAGAAAGACAAGTGATCATAACATCCTGTGCTCAGTGCTGTGACATTGGAATGAAGGGTGCACCGGAAACATGAGGAAGGACATCCAAAGGAGACCAGCAGCTTCGGGAGGGCTTCCTGAAGGAATAGGATGAGGATGAAGGTTGGCCTTCAAGGACTGGTAGCAACACAGGTGAAGGCACCAAGGTGTGAAATAGTTCTGGAAACAAACGCCCAAGTTCCCAGTGACGAGCGTAGATGTGTGTAGGACAAGTGGTAGGCGATAAGGTTAGAAAGGGGTCAGGCTACAAGCTGGTAGATGTGCCAGGTGGCATTGCTGGGGTTTTCTCCTGGTTACCATTCTGGAGCCTTTAAAGGAATGTTAAGGTTGGGGAGTGACACAGGGTGATTTGTTTCTTAGAATTCTGCAGTGCGGAGTGGGCTGGAGAGGGGGAGGCAGAGAATAGGGAGACAGCCCAGCTTGGAGGTGAATGCAGACATTGGTCCGAGTTTGAAAGGCAACCAATGGTAACTCCTTGTTTTAATTTTTACTTATTACTGAGGTTGAATAGTTTTCTCATTAGTTGACCATTTATATTTCCCTCTTTTGTTTATTCATGTTCTTTATCTAACTATTGGGGTCTCAGTATCCTTCTTATCTATTTGTATAAAATTTTTATATATTAAAGAGCTTAATCTTTTACATATTTATTGAAATATATTCCTAGTATGTTTGCCTTTTAATTTTATTTGTAGATATGTGTATATTTATGAGATACAGAGATTAAACTTCTATGTTGTTGATTTTGAACATCCTTTTTTATTTCTTCCATTGCTTTTTATTTTAACATGTTTTTAGTGATTTTTAGAGAGAGAGGGGGAGGGAGGGGAGGAAAAGAGAGCGAGAGAAACATTGATCTGTTGCCTCCAACCGCAACCAGGGTATGTGCCCTGAGTGGGAATAGAACCAGCAACCTTTTGGTGCATGGAACAATGCTCAACCAACTGAGCCACACCGGTGGCTCTTCCATTGCTTTTTAAACTTAGGGATCCCTTGCCTCTTCAGAGATTTGATAAATGTACACTCGTGTTTTCTTGTTTTTTTTTATTAGACTTTATTTTTGCTCACAGCAAAATTGCTTCTTCTGTTTTACAACGTGAATCTTTATATTGTTTTTATCAGTGAAATTATTTTGATTTATGCTATGAGATAGAAGCTAAACTGATTAGTTTTCAATTAGCCCAAATACCATTTATGTATAGTCGTCCCTTCCCCTTCCCTGCTGGATTAGAATCCGCATTTGTCACATATTAAATGTGGAGGGCCTGTTGCCGAGTTACCTATCCAGTGTCATTGAGCTTACTGTCTGAAGGAATTTGATTTGGACCTGTTTAAAACTTGAAGTATGAGACATCTGGAGGTAAAATCTAGTTGGCAGTTGGATTTCCGGGCAGGATGATAAGGAGGCAGTGCCCAGCTAGGAGATGCTATGGAAGGTTCCGGCTCCCCAAGGCCACAGTAGGGCCCATGGCTCACCAGGCCAGGCTAGGATACTGGACTCAGTGGCTTCTTATTTTCCCTGACCTGCCCCATTTACTCCCAATTTTTCTCAAATAGAAAGTAGACAAAGCAGCCCCCCGACATACACCCAGGCTCTGCCTGTTCCCAGGGGTGGGGGCTGGAGGCTGCTGCTGGGTTGGTCACTGTGAAGAACTTAGGACACTTAGGACATTTCAGCTTCTGCCCTCCTCTGCCTTCACCTGGAGATCTAACTCCTCTCTAAACACCAAAGCCCCTGAGTTCCAGAGCCTGTTTCCCCCAAGGCCTCCTAGAGAACAGGTGTGTTCGCTTTGGGCTTCTGTACCAGCAGACAGAGGGCCGTTCCTCCATCAGGTGGCTCTCCAAGTCTTCACACAGAGGCCTGGAGCCTCAGCTCAGGCTTCAGTGGGTACAACGAAATCCTGGCCTCTCACAGTCAAGGACATGTGTCACTTTTAGCAGGTGTAGGGCATTTCCCAAAGGACTTTGCATTTACTCTGAAGACACCAGCATTTTGAAAGGAGGAGACCATGGGCTAGCTGGCCCCTCTGTGGATAGGGCGGCTAAATCTGGAGTAGGTACCCTTATAGTCCTCCCTTGAGCCTCTAGAACAGAGGTTCTCAACCTGTGGGTCGCGACCCCTTTGGGGGTCGAACGACCCTTTCACAGGGGTCGCCTAAGACCATCGGAAAACACATATATAATTACATATTGTTTTTGTGATTAATCACTATGCTTTAATTATGTTCAATTTGTAACAATGAAATTGGGGGTCACCACAACATGAGGAACTGTATTAAAGGGCCACGGCATTAGGAAGGTTGAGAACCACTGCTCTAGAAGCATCTTCCTCTAGGGCCTGGGGAGGGGGCTTTGCTGTACCAGGACCAAACACAGGGACCTAGGAGCCTGCTGCTCTGCCCCCCACAGCTGATACATATCCCTAAAAGGCTGCTCCTGGGCTCCTGCACTTGGAATCCAGGCTACACCACCAGGTGATGACTTAGAGGCTGCCCCCTCCCCACCAAGAAAAATGGTGGAGAGCAGGGAGGCAGTTGAGCTGGAAGTCCTTTAGGCCAGGCCCTGCCCCTTTATCCAGTGGCTTTCACTGTTACCAGCCTTGAACTTGGACCCCGGGCTGACTGCCAGTGCCTTCCTTCACTGTTTGTCTACCTTGTTTATAGGGAGGCAGTGGGAGAGAGGAGAACATTCCACACCTTCCCCCCACCTTTCCCCACCCCCACCACACCCCACACCCCCCACACACACACCCCACAGCCCCGGGCTCAGGAAGGAAGGGAAAGAAGGAAGACTGAGGCAGAAGGAGCTGGGGCCTGCGGGGGTGGCCGAGGGGGCGGGTGCTGCCTGGGTAACCAGCAGGCTCTGCACGCCCCCAGCCACAGTTCACTCCGTGCATCATCAGACTGGCTCATCCGACTGGCTCATCCGGCACGCAGGGTGTGGAGATGGCGGGAGGCCTGCTGTACCTCGCTCAGGGGAGGGGGTGTGGAAAGGAAACCTGGCTTGACCCCCCAACCCCTGTGGAAGCAACCAGGAGCTGGTCCCCACCACTTACCACCCACTCCTCCCCATGATGACACCACGGTAGCCATAGATGACTGCTTCTCTCTGGCAGAAGTCAGGCTGGTTTCTCCGCACCTGGGGCTGAGTTCCATGTGTCTTCCTGGGAGGAGCCTGTGGACAGACATCTTACAGGAGTGCACGTTCCATGCCATGTCTACCTTTCTGCTCTTTGCTGTGCTGTGGGGCACCGCAGGGAATGTGGGTTCTACAGTTGCTGACAGGGCAGTTTTCCAGGGAGCTTGCTTTCCTGCATCAGGATCGTGTTGATACATTAAGACAAGAGCCTCTCTGAGTACCACTTGCCTGCAACCTGGGCATCCTCAGGTAGAGGAACAGGGCTAGGATTTTAGAAGCCAAACCTTCTCCCTCTGCCACAGACCTGTTCCACAAAGACCTGTACCCACTGCACTTTAGCTCCCTCTGGCACAAGGTCAGGGAAGGTTTTGTGAAACACCTCGTTAGCTGGGGGCTCCCCAAGCTCCTGCACAAGCCAGCTTATTGCCACAATGACTTAGCCCTGAGCTGGCCTCCTGCCTCCCCCGCTTCAGCTGTCTGCTCCCCACTCTCGCTCACCTGTTCCTCCAAGGCAGGGCCAGCTCAACTGCCTCAGCACCCCTGAGATTCATTCATTCATTTCAGAGAGGAAGGGAGAGGGAGAGGGAGGTAGAAACATCAATGATGAGAAAGACTCATTGATTGGCTGCCTCCTGCCCGCCCTACACTGGGGTCCAAGCCGGCAACCGGGGCATGTGCCCTGACCGGGAATTCATAGGTTGATGCTCAACCACTGAGCCACACCGGCTGGGCAAAGATTCATTCTCTTGGTTCCTGCCCCCAGAAATGGAGGCTCTCCTTCCTTACCTGGATAAGATGGACCCTCCAGAGAAGATCCTCGGGAATCACAAGCACTCTCAAACTCTGGAGCCTGTGGAGCTCACACGAGTTAGTGTGTGCACGTACACGCATGCATGCATGCACACATTTTCACTTACACACAAAACCCATTTTGCAAACATGTGGCTGAGACACTGAAGCCACCAGGGGGCCTCAGCCTCACTGCCTGCCCCAGATCTCTGGCATCTGGGCCACAGCGGGTTGTGGTGAGTGACACCTGCCTCGCTTCTTCCCGCCTTCAGCTGATCTGAGGGCTATTTATATGCTCTTAAGAAAGTAGCGGAGGCTGGTTGCTTATTAGCTAACAGCAGCGGCTGAGTCCATGGGCCTCAGGGCCACCTTCTGCAAGTCCCAAAGGTTGGGGTCCTCCTGCTCCCTGGACCTCCTCCAGGCCATCCCCTACCCCTCCTGTACCCTGCATGCCAACTCCCCACTCCTCACAGGACTCCATAGGCATTTAGACCCATCCATCACTAATCTCCTGCCCTCCCCTTAGTCATCAATCCCCTTGGGCCCCAGTGTGACTTGTCCTCCAGCTCTCACTTCCCACCAGCACCCCTCAACCACACATGACATTTCATTCCATAGTGGGCCCCCTGTGTAGAAGGGTCCTTCCCTGACCTGAACCTCTAACCAGCAACTTGCCACCAGATCTGATGCCCAGCACCCTCTGAGGTCAGAGGGCTAACCAAGTCTGCTGCTGCCCTTTAGAGAAATCTGCGGTACAATATCCCTGTGTCCTCGGCCTCTCTCCCAACCATCAAGAGCCTGGGCCTCAGGGGCGTCTCCTGCATCAGCCTCACCAACCTGGATGGCTCACCAGCCTCACACCAGGTGCTGCAGTCTATTGCCTACCACCTGGGCCCTCACCTGCAGAGCTTGTGCCTCGGTGGGGGCAGCCCCACGGAGGCCTCCTTTGTGGCCCTGATCCTGGGCTGTCCGGCCCTGCGTAGCCTTGACCTCAGTGGCTGCAACAGCCTCTTTGCATCGGGCACACTGCTAGCTCAACCCGAAACAGCACAGCAGGTCCGGCAGGCACTGAGCGGCCTCCGCGAGCTCAACCTGGCTGGCCTGCGAGACCTGGCCGACCTCAGCTTCAACAGGCTAAGCAGCTGCGCCCCCAGCCTAGAGCGCCTCTCCTTGGCCTACTGTCACCTCACCTTCGAGCTAGGCCCAGCCTGGGGCTCCATCAACCCCCAGGACTCCTCCCCATCCCAACTTTCCTTCCACAACCTGCTGCGGTTCGTGAAGGAGCGGGCTGCTAGGCTGCGCGCCCTGGACCTGAGTGGCACGGGCTTGCCACCCGAGGCCCTGCAGGCCCTGGGCCAGGTGGCTGGGCTCCAGCTGCAGGAGCTGAGCCTGCACAGCTGCCGGGACCTCTCCACAGAGGCTGTGGCTGCCCTTTGCCGCCAGCAACCGGGCCTTACCTCCCTGGACCTCAGCGGCTGCTCAGAATTGGCTGATGGGGCACTGTTGGCTGTGAGCCGGGGCCTGCGGCACCTGCAGCGCCTGAGCCTGAGGAAGCTGCAGCGGCTGACGGATGCGGGATGCACAGCCCTTGGGGGCCTGCGGAAGCTGCAGAGCCTGGACATGGCTGAGTGCTGCCTAGTGAGCGGGCGGGTATTGGCCCAGGCTCTGGGCTCAGTGCGCAGAGCTCCACCGCCACTGGCCTTTCTCAGCCTGGCCTACTGCTCCTCACTCAAGGTGAGCCACCACCCCTTCCTTCCTCCCCAGGGCCAGGGCTGGGAGAAGTGGAGGTGTGGCACGAGGGAGAAACTGCCCGGTGTTTGTGTCCAAGTAGTTAGAACTGAACTTGGAACACATTCTGGAAGGGGAAAGGGGCCTAGACAAGACAGTGTGGCTGTGCGGCCATCAGCACCCTCCTGGCAGCTCCCACTGTGGGCTCAGGTCAAGGGAGGCCCAGCCCAGGAGGTGGCACCCACTGGGCATGCCAAGTGCTCAGTGACCACTGCAGTCGGAGGCACTAAAAGCAGGTGTTCCAGAGGCTAGGAAGGCTGGAGGAGGGGGTGACAGAACTGAGCCCTGTGGGGAGGGGCACCGAGGTTACACAGAAGAGGCTTCTCAGGCAGGGCCTGAGGGGGGTAATGTGATGTGGGGGCAGCAGAGTCGCTTTCTATCTGAAGCCAGTCTCTTCAATAGGGCTCAGCCCTGTCCCTCTGGGTGGCGTCCCTGTCTTGGCAATGGCAGCCTTGTTTAGTGGGTTATTCCTTCGATCTATCCATGTGACCAGGGTATTCCCAACCTGAAAACCGCCTCTTAACCTTTTCCCCACAGCACCTCTCTTCCCCTGCCCCTCTCCATCTTCCTTTTACCACTGTTGTCTCTTAGCTGGACACTGGAGCCTCACATTCTTGTGTCTCTGTATCTCTCTACAAACCAGTTTATTCTACTCCGCCCTTAGCTCCCACTCCCCCCACCATGACTGCTTCTGCCCACTGTGACCTCACAGTTCTGCTTCACAATCTAGAGGGAGCATATCTGATTGGGTCAGATGTCCACCACTAGTCCAATAAGCTGTGGTCAGAGGGCAGCCTCAGCCCACCCCTTCAGCAGGGACTGGGAGCACAGTCAGGGCAGATACCTGAGACATTTCTACCAGCATCTTTCCTGCCCCAGCCAAGCGCTATCCTCCAGCAAACTCCTCCTGGTGTCCTAGCCCCATGGCTCCCCATGTCCACTCCAACCTTTACCAGCACAGGGACATCATCACCTCCCTCCGTGGGCCCTCTGCTAGCTCCTTATTGCCTGTTGGGCCAGAACCTTGGACAGAACCTTCTAAGTGACCCTTGCCATCTTTCCATTACTCTCTCCCTTCTCCACTTTCCTCCTAGGACAACTCAGTGCTCTCCCTGATCCCAGCGCTGGGACCGAGTCTCAGAGTGCTAGACTTATCCTCTTGTGTGGCCCTCACCAACCGGACCCTGCAGGCCATCTGCACCTACCTCACTCCCCTCTCAGTCCTGCGCCTGGCCTGGTGCAAGGAGCTTCGTGACTGGGGGCTTCTGGGGCTGGGGGAACCCAGTGAGGAGCCAGCACAGAAAGCCCAGGTGTGGGACCCTCAAGGTCATGAAGGGTGGGTGGTCCCTGGGCTCGCCTGCCCTCCTGAGTCTCTCTCTAGGAGCATTTGAGGGCCAAACTCAGGAGGAACTGAGAAGCAGGGGTCTCTTCCCACAGCCACACGGAGAGCTGGAGCATCAGGCCTCAGGCCCCATGGACCCTTCTCCCCAGCCACAGGGCCCCTCCCTGCTCATGATGCAGGCCCTGCGGGAGTTGGACCTCACAGCCTGCAGCAAGCTGACCGATGCCAGTTTGGCACAGGTGTGGGGCTGGGGGTGTGGATAGACTGAGGATCGGGGGCTGGAGCCAGGGGCCTGGGCCCACCCCCTTTTTGCTTAGAAAAAGTTCCTTTCTTGTTGGCTTCTGCTGTGTATGGCCTCGCCTTTTGCTGGGGGTGGGGAACCTAGAAGAGCCCCTGGCCCTTGGCTCCAGTGCCATACTACACCCCAGCCCCACATCCTCCATCCTTGCAGGTGCTCCAGTTCCCCCAGCTGAGGCAGTTGTCACTGAGCCTGCTGCCAGCACTCACAGATAACGGCTTGGTGGCTGTGGCCAGGGGCTGCCCTAGCCTGGAGCGCCTGGCACTGAGTCACTGCAGCCTCCTCAGTGACGAGGGCTGGGCCCAGGCAGCCAGCTCCTGGCCGAGGCTGCAGCACCTCAACCTGTCCAGCTGCAGTCGGCTCACAGAGCAGTGAGTGTCCAACAATGCCAGTGCAGGGGCTGGGCTGGGCTGGGACCAGCCTCGGGTCAGGCACTCACACCGGGGCCTTCCTGCAGAACGCTGGACACCATTGGGCAGGCGTGCAAGCAGATCCAGATGTTAGATGTCGCCATGTGCCCTGGTATTAGCATAGCTGCTGTCAGGCAATTCCAAGCCCAACTGCCCCAGGTGATCTGCATCCAGTCCCGCTTCGTGGGAGGGGCTGACCTGACCCTAACACTCTGAGGCCAGGTCAGTAAGCGGCCCTGTGGCTCAGCCTCATGTCCCTGGCCCTGGCTTCTCAACCTGGAGTTTGACTCAGTGCCTCCTGTTCCCCTCTGCTACAGACCCCAGAGCCCCTTCCCTAAGCTATAAACACCTTTGCAAGGACTGGAGGTGGGGCTAATCCAGGGCTGTCTGGAGTGCTTCCTACCCCAGTTTGCCCCACAGCCTGGCAGGGGCTTGCCAGCTACATGAGGCTGCCACAGGCCCCTGGAAATGCCAGCTCCTGACCTCCTGGCCAGGCCTGGGTCTGGAAGCCCCAGGCCCATAGGTGGCTGGGTCAGATGCTGGAGAGGAGCAGACCCCCCTCTTGCTCTGCCTACCTCCATCCAAGGCCTGTGCCCTACCTTGTTCCCTATTCTAGTTCCCAGTCCCCTACCAGCGCTGAACTTTAGCAGCCAAGCCTTATCTTTGTTGTAAACCCAAACAAGATTAAAAATTCCAGATTCTACCTCTTTATCTGAAGTTCTCTCCCCTCCCCCACCTCAGTTGAAGCAGCCCTGCCCTGTCCAGGGACAAGGGAGGAAACACCAGACAACTTCCTCGGGTGTGGCCCAAAGCCCCATAGGAGCCCCTAAGCAGGTCCCAGCTTCCCCATATGGTGGGAGGTTCCAAAAGTCTGGAGGCCTCTCCCAGCATGAGCTCCCAGGCAGGTCCTGTAGCAAAGGCACATCTTGTAGCACTGGGCCCAGCCAGACCCCAGGAACATCCTCCCTCCCCGTTGCCAGAGTCCATGAGGTGGTCTTCAGGGCGGGGGGGGGGGGGGGGGGGCCGGGCAGGGAGGCAAGAAAGAGGATAGCGAATAGCCTCGCTGGGTAGGAAGGGTCCTTAGAGGTCATCTAGTCCAACCTCTTAAACAGTGCCAGGGAATTCTCAACAGCAGCTCTTAGAAAGTCTGCCGGGCCCTCCGTACGTCCACCTCCACTTTGTCCATCTGTCTATTAGTTCTAGGAGCAGCCAACTGGGCTGCCTGAGTGCCTGCTTTTTGTGGGGATTCAGAGGTGGTGAAGCTCTCCCAGCCGCCAGGGCAGTTGGAGAAGCAAATCAGCCAACAGGCGGGGACAGCCATGTGCACAAACAGAGCAACAGCACCTGGGACTGGGGACCCAGGGGAGTCACGAGCTTAGCCTGGGAGGTCAAGGAAGGACTCAAGGCAGAAAAAATGAGAAGCGAGAGAAGGGGCAATCAGGCAGAAGGGCCTGGGGGGGTGCACATGGCAGGCCAGAGCTGACACTGGGGTGGGGGGTGTCTAGGCCCCAACAGGGTGCAGGGAGGATGCCAGCAGGGGCCAAGCACTGAGAACCCTGCACAGGGCCTAAACCACATACATGTCTGCAACCCATCTCTACTCTGCCCATCATGGTACCATGACCATTACCCCCTGGACAATAGGGAGACACTGACGAATACAGGATGGGGGTAGTGTGTGTGATCAGATCAGCTTCATGTTTGCTAGAACAGCTCGGGTAGCTGGTATTGAGAAGACTGGAGACAGGAAACCAGGAGGTTCTTGGCAAGATGATGGTGGCCTGCACAAAGGACCACCAGACAAGGAGTGCTGGGAGACTTAACAGCATCTGGGATCCCCACCCCTACTTCCACCTTGAACTAAACAGCAGTTATTCCAAATGTGGTGGGAAGTCTCCGGGTGCCTGAGTCAGAAGCATAGCGGGGGGAGGGGAAGCTCAGTACATTCTCCAAAGGAGATGTCATTTCATCACTTTTCAAGGCAACATGTTGATGGTTAACATTGTTTAAAAAGACATTTGAGGAGTTGCCGGGGAAGAGGTAGCAAGAAGAGTGGAAAAGGAGGTCAGTGGATGGTGAATCTTTCAGTCTGTCCTGTGGGCAGGGCTGCTCCTCTTGGCCTCAGAGGCTTGAGGTCCATGACCAGAGCTCTGGGCGTGACCTCCAGCTGGGCCCAATCCCCCAGCCACCTCTGATCCCAGGAGCTCTGGCCTTCCTGTGCCCATCCCACCCTCCTGCAGTGGGTTTTAATCAGAATGCAGGCTTCCTGCACTGAACTCCCTCTTGTCAGAATATCCTCCCACCACTGGGGGATGTCTTCTGGAATCTTACACCTGCCTTTCAACACAAGGCAGGCCCAGCTTCACATCTCTCCTGTCCTGCTCCCACCAGAGGTTCTCCAAGTCCCACAAAGGACACGGGGCAGCCAAGCAAGGTTCCGGACTGAGCTCAGACTCTCAGAGGCCTCTGGAAACATGGCTCCCATGTTAGGCCCCTGTTAATGCTGCCCAGGAAGGCCTCCACTTGGGGCCGTGCCTCCCCCCTCACCTGGCTGGTAGCACCAGCACTCTCTTGGTTGGTGCCTCCCAAACACAGGCCATTCCTGTCTGCAGGCCCAGCACTGAGGGAGGCTGAGGACTCATCCTGAGGAAGGACAAGCCCCTCAACTGTAGCTGCCCAGGTTCGTGGCCCCAAGCTGTGGCCCTGGCCTGATGTCCACATCTCCTGCACCAACCGAGTTTGAAGGCAGGCTTGGCCCACAGGGTTCACAGCTGGCTCGACACATACCCAGGAGCCAAGCAGACTTTATTCCTGCTGCAGCCTCTGCTGGCCGGGGTGTCTGCACTGCGGCACACTCCACCCTTCACGGCCACCACAGTGGCAGCAGCTGTGGCCCTCGGCCAACCTGTCAAGGTTCAGTGACACTGCAGTCATAGCAGAAGTTGAAGTTGGTGGGGGGCGGAGGGATGGGGGGTGGCTGCTCAGGGATGGGCACGTTCTCCAGCTCCAACAAGCGCAGCTTGGTCTCCATGGTCAGCAGCTGCTCCAAATCCAGCCGTGTCTGCTCACTGCCCATGGGACTGCCCAGCAGGGTGCTCAGCCCATCTGTCCACAGGTGGAACTGGGGGCGGGGATGGCTCCATGAGGACCTGCCAGTCTCTTCCCCTGCCCATCTGCCCAATTCAGCTCAGCCTGCCCAGACACTCACCTCCTGTTTGGAGGGGGCGATGAAGTTGAGGTACGCCTCCTCCTCCCCGTGGTCATAGCTGACTGAGAAAGCTAACTCACAGAGGTCTGGGGAGGAAGGGAACCATGAGCACTGAGCAGGGGGCAGGGCAGGGCAAGTGGGAAGGAGCCCAGGCCCCCCTGCCCTCACCTTGTTCTGCTTCAATGAGCCTTTCTCCCGGACGTGGGGGCAGTCCTTGCCGGTCAGTAGTGCCCTGAGGTCAGCCACTGGGACTGCGGGAAGAAGACTGGGTTGACCACCGGGGCCCCAGGCGTCCCGGGGCATGGGGAGGTCTGGGGGAGCAGGTGTCCTGTCCCTGTCCCTGCCCTCCTTACGCTGTTCTGGGAGGCTCTCGGGGGCAGGTGGACTGGCACCGTCCTCCACGTCCCCATACTGCAGCACTTTGTGGTTGGGGGACAGGCAGCAGAACCACAGCTTGTCTATGGGCAGCAAGGGGAAGAGGGAAGGAGTGAGCAGAGGGGCCCTGACCCAGGCCAGGCCCTCTCTGCCCCCTGCCCCCTCAACAACCCTGGCGTCTCCGGCTGCTGATCTTGCGGAAGAGTGTGCCCTCGCAGAGGCGGAGCAGACGCTGCTGGCGGATCAGGCCCATGAGCTCTGGCTTCAGCTTCTCCCGAAGCTCCCTGGGTCGGGGGAGGGGGTTTGCTGACCGAAACTGACCTGGGACAGGCCCATGGGGTACGAGGGAAAGGGGGGGGCTAGGACTGGGACCCATCCCCACCAACTCACAGTATGGGAGGGGCGAGTGTGACCTCCTGATGCAGCCGCTCAGTCTGGCGCAGTCGCAGCACCTCCGCGTAAGTGAGTGCGTTCACCTTGGTTCGGAAGAGCTCCAGGGAGCTGGGCTTTAGGGCCAGTGTGCGGGCCAGCTGCTCCCGGACCACTTGCATGACCTGGAGCCACCCCAGGCTCAGTTCAGGGTCTGAGCTCTGGACCCCTACCCTGCATAGCCCCCTGCCCTGGCCCAGGTCTCCAGCTCCCACCCACCCACCTTATCAAAGTCCTCCTGTGTGGCCCGCATCTCCTTCCAGGTCTTATTCAGAAGCTGAATGCTCACACAGAAGAGCTCATGGAAGCTCTGGTCTTGGCTGAAGAACATGGGTGAAAAGTCCTGGGCCGTTTCGGAGCCTGGAGCAGGGGGGCAGGAGGGGCTCAGGGAGGAAGTATGTGAAGCCCCTGGCCCTCTCTGCCCTTCCGTCCCCCGTTCCCGGACACACCGTGCCCAATCCCACTCACAGGGCTCCCCGACACGGAGCAGCTCACACAGCAGCACCGTCAGCTGGATGCTGCTCCGGGCAAAGGGGCACTCGTGCTTGTCCTCACGACTACTGTTCTCCAACACAAACTGGGGTGGTGGGAGCAGAGAAAGGGGCAGGGAGTCACAGCTAAGCCCGTGGGGACCCATCATAGGCAAGCATCCCGCTCTGCCCACACCCCAACACTGACCCGGCTGTAGGCACTGGGTGCATGTTTGGAGAAGTAGAGCATGTTGTCCAGGGCCAGCAGGCCGGGGGGCACGCGCTCCAGGTCCTGTGCGGGGTTGCTGTTCTGGGGGAAGAGGACAGGCAGCTGAGGAAGGGCCCCAGTCCTCTGGAACAACGGCAGCCCGGGGTTGAGGCAGGGGTCACTCACGGTGAAGCCCAGTTTGCGGAACTCCCGGGCACAGAGGGAACGGCGCCGGTCAGCACTCAGCCCGGCACTGGGAGACTCCCCTTCCAGCTCAAAGGCAGCCTGGCGCAGGGTCTGCAGCTGCTCCCGCTGCTCCTGAGGGTCATTATTTGGGGGTGGTCACGATCACAGATTCAAGGCCAAGCTCTGGCTGCCCCCAGCCTCTGTATCCCAAAGGCACCCACCTGGCTGTAGGGGTCCAGTGGTGTCCGCATGCGCTGCTCCAGCAACCCCAGTGTAAGGGACTGCAGTACGTACAAGTGGTGAGCCATCTCGTCGCCCAGTGGTGCTGCGCTATGGATGATGCTCTGGAGGACAGCGCGTCCAGGGGTGTAAGCGTGGGCTCACTGGGGGAGGAGGAGTGGGTGGGCCTGCCTGGCCAGGGCTTCCTACCTTATAGATGAACTGGCGAAGGTTTCTCTGCCACAGGTAGTCAAGCATGTGCTGAGAGTGGGTGGAAGGAGGCTTAGATGATGCAGCCTCACCATGAGCACCCACCCTAGGCCCGCAGTAGAGCTCAGTGCTCACCAGCTCCTGCCCCTCATCCATCCACGAGATGGACATCCACCAGATGGACACCCCACCTTACGGTCAACAGGGCTGGCCCCCTGCAGCAAGGCTGTCAGCAGTGCCATGG